TGGGGTTTGGGGTTTACAGTTTAGGGTTTAGGGTCTGGGCTGGGAGCCTGAAGACAAAGGTTTGTTCGGATTCCGTGGCAAGCTTTGTACGGCGTGTTGTTTAGGGGAGCTCTTTCAGATGATAAGCTTGACTAAACCCGAAACCCTAAACCCAAAATCCCTGTGGGGTTTGGTGGGTGTTGCTTTTGGGCAAGGTAGGGAGAGAGGCGGTGGCGGTCCGCAGGGTTGCTGAGGCCACGAGTTAAAGATACCGGCCCCGTGCCAGGTGCAATCCATCCGAATGGGGTTCAGTCTTTGGTAGGGGTTTAGGGTTTAGGGTTTTGTAGGAGAGCCCCATATTTAAAAACCAGAAACCCCTGCCGGGGCCAAGGCGATCTGCAGGAAGGCCGAAACGCCGGCCTGATCACAGCATCTGCAGGTTGCGAAGGACTAAGCCCCACGTCTAAAGAACGAAAGCAAGCTAAAGTTTCGCCCTAAACCCTAAACCCTAAACCTTAAACCGCCCCTAAACCATGATCATGAACACCTGAAGCACTGATGGCAGTTCAGTGCAAGCTTCCGTTTGGCGCAACAGGAGGCTGAGGGTAAAAAGCTCCGGTGTCACGGCTTTAAAGCTCGCTTTCTGGGCGATGGCAGCTGCGCTCAACCCCCAACGTTACACCCTAAACCCTAAAGCCTAAAGCCTAAAGTCTAAACCCTCAACCCTAAACCCCTAAACCCCTAAAGCCTAAACCTTACACCCTAAACCCTAAACCCTAAACCCCTAAACCCCAAACCCCGAAACCCTAAACCCCAAACCCCTAAACCCTAGACCCTAAACCCACAAAGCTCAAGGCCGGCCTAGTGGTTGCTTCGTTTTGTATCCGTGCTTAGGGCCTTGTGGGGCTGTTCGCGCGCCTTTAGGGCTTCAAGGAATTGGGCAAATTGGGGTTTGGGGCTTTAGCGCTTCAGGCCTTTTAGGAATGAGGGCCTAATTAGAGGTACGTAGCTTGTGGGGCTGAAAGTTGTGCGATTTTAATAAGGAACCCCCAACATAGTATATATTGTGTTTGTCTGGTTGATACCTTTGCTTTGGCATATGAACCGGGATGAAGGACTCTATTGGCTTGAGAATGCTAGCTCCGGTTATGGGATTAGCCTTTAGTGCCCAAAACCGATCCAGAACACAAAGCTATTCAACAACGAACCCGGAGTGCTGCTTTGATCTTAAGGCTACAACTCGCACACTGCTTTATTCTGCAGCACCCGGACAGGGCTTTCGATCCTCAAGCCGGCCCTAAACCTGATCTGTAAATCCCTGAACCCAAAACCCTCTCCCAACCCGAAAGGACCTAAGGAAGCGAGCCTGCAGCCCCCATAGAAGGCACAACAGCAGACCTGACCAGAACGCAACACGGTTTAGGGTTTAGGGTTTAGGGTGTGGGGTTTCGGGGTTTAGGGGTTTAGGGGTTTAGGGTTTAGGGTTTAGGCTTGGATGTCATGTCAAGTTGGAGCCCTGATTTTCTGACCGAGAATCATAAACTTCAACAGCACGAAGCCCGAACAGCATCAGCGCGGAACCCTCAAATTCCAAACCGCTGCTGTCTATATTAGAGAAGCTCAGAAGACAAGACCCTGAAATGTCCCCAGATCCCGAGGGCTCGAAGCGCAAACCCCTGCACCCCCACATCCCAAATTGCCCTAGACCCCAGAGACAAACACCTCCTGAACCACATCAGCCCCCAAAGCAGCGGCTTGAAAGTGTGCGAATCCAGACAGCTCGGCCTCGATTCTTGGGACCTCAAGGCTCTCAGCCATGTCTTTTAGATTTCGGGCCTGCGGCTCCTAATGTAGGGGCCGTAATAATTAGAACAGGGTTTGGGGGGCACATCATACTCTAACTATAGTGAGGAACCCCCTTATTAAGGCCCCTGTATTCACCCCCAAGCCCCGATCTAGATGTCGCTGAGCTCCCCAATAACCCACCAGAAGCCTCAACCCCAGTCCCTACAACCATAAGCCCTGTAACTCTAAGCCCCATAATCCTGGAACCCTGTAACTATAAGGCTATAAGGCCCCTAACCCTAAAACCCCGCAACCATAAGCCTTACAACGCAAAACCCTGAAGTTCGCCTGCTGGTAAGAAGATCCTTTGCAGCCGCAGCCTCGCAAAGGAACACAAATACAGGGGCGAGAGAGCCAGGGCTGTCATGTCTGTTTCAACGTGCTCAAGCTTTGACCATGTGTCTCCAGTTGTTCAGTCCCCTCATGTTACCGGACAACCCTTAACCTCAGTCCCTAAAAAACTCATAGCCAAAAACACGACAAATCCCAAGGCGGGCCCGAAGAGGCAGTCAGTCTCAAAAAGAACAGCTTGCCGTCAGCGCCACACCGAACGTGTCCTGGATCCATAAGTCCACAAGTCCCCACAAGCTCGTTTCGGCCCGCGCACAGAAGGCCAAACCATGGTGAGGTACACGAACATCATGATCATCATCATCATCCTCCTGTTTTTTTGCTCATACGCATGACCATTGTCCTGACCATGGTCAGACCATGGTGTTGGTGACATGTCCATGAGGATGATGACGAAGGAGGGCGACGACGATGATTACGGCCGTCATGATGAACGAAATCACGATGATGACACAGCGAAACTTACGATGTGACTCTTGCTCCTGCTGCTGCTGCTGCTGCTGATGGCCGCTGTCATGATGATGCAGAAGTCTGAAGCAGCGGCGATGATGAGAATAATTTTCATCATCACTATCATCATCATCATCATCGTAATCAATCATCACGCTGCTGCTACGAAGCTGGGACCGCGACATTGGTGCCCGGGTGTCCGCAGCCAGGCGAGAACTCGTCATCTACCCGAGCAAGAGACAGCGGCCGCAGGGCTCGCACAATCTTCGTCCCTTCCAAACTAGTAAAACTATAGTGTCTGTATGGTAATATATGGTCATATATGGTAATGTATGGTAATAACCAATCTACAAAGAAGTTGACAACTATTTTGAGAACCCTCCCTCAAGCACGACCCAGTTTAGGGCTTACCACGGAATGCCGACCCGGCAGGTTGATCTGTGGCGTGCCAGACCTCAACTTCCTGTTCAACTCAACCCTTGAACTCTGAGCTGATTCTAAAGCTATTGGAATTTGGATCCTTGTTTAAGAATTAATCCCGGGGTTTCTGTTGTGGACGATTTTTGGGGAAATGGGGTTTATGGGGGTAGAGGTGTGCAGCACCATTCTGCTGCTCGGCCGCGACAACAATCAGATCGCATGGGTGGTCCTTTTTCCTTCTGGCTTGGCAGACGATCTCCAGCTGTAGACTAAATACCAAATACCCAATAAATCCCTCAAGTCGATCTCAGCCATCTGCGAAGAAATCTACATCCCAGAGCAACCTCAACCCGAGTATTTCAGCCTCATGGCCCACAACTCCCAAGACCCTAAACCCTAAACCCTAAACCCTAAACCCTAAACCCTAAACCCAAAGCCTTTCCCATATCGCTCCCGATGCCAAGAAGACCCGAGAGCAGCCGTTACAAGCCTGAACCCTAGCACCCAAAACCCGAAACCCCCAAAACACCCTAAACTCTAAACCCCTAAAAGAACCCTAAACCCCTAAAAACCCCTAAACCCTAAACCCCTAAAAACCCCTAAACCCTAAACCCCTACAACCCTAAAAAACCTAAACCCTAAACCCTAGTGATCTTCTCTGGAGTTGGGCTCCTCAGGGGCCGAACCTGTACCGAACTTCGGCCCAGGTACTTCACCAAATGCCTTCGGGCATTTATGGGCTCTTTGAAGTGTTCCGATTAGGGCTTAGGTTTGGGTTGTTTTGGTGGGGTTTTAGGAGTTACTTAAAGGATCGGGGAATTCGCATCTAGGCTCAGAAGTCCCGTGCTCCTTTGAAATGGTTTAGGTTTTGGGTTTGGGTTTAGGGTTT